CTCAGAGTAGAATTGCTGGGTAGTAGGTAGGTCCGAGGACATTCACATTTTCCATACATGAGAAAACTTGTCCTGGGGGTGTAGCCTGGTATTAGAGCACTTGCCTAGCAGGTGCCAGGCCCTGGGTTCCCTTCCAACACCAAAAAAAAGAAAAACAAATCATAAAGTGATTGTACCAATTTACATCCAAACAAGTTTTATTTTTATTTTTTTTAGAGAATTTTAATATTTATATTTCTTTGTTTGTATGTGGTGCTGAGGATCGAACCCGGGCCGCACGCATGCCAGGCGAGCGCGCTACCGCTTCAGCCACATCCCCAACCCCAAGTTTTATATATACATCTTATAAACTGAATGTTAATAATGATATATTTAATACATACCAATTCTTGATATCATCCAACTTTGTATGTAGACATTATACACTTGGACGTATATTTGATGTCTGTATTTTGTAGTTTCTATTCTGACCTTTTTCAGTTTTTGAAATTTTCTAAAAATACAAAAATACAGTACAAATACAAAATGTGGAAATAAACCCTACAACGCAGAATTTTCTACATACCAAAATTAAGGCATCTCTAGAAATCGAAGTCTTCACAATATCAATATCGTGCCTGAAAAAAGAAAAATAACTTATAACGCTTCTAATGCAGGATCAGAATCCAAATGTCAACGGTTTTCACCAAAAATATCTTTCAGCGTGAGCTTTCTTCCAGCAAGTGCAAACACTCTCCAAGGCGTTCTCCAGCAGGAGTTCTCGCCCAAGTGTCCAGATCTCTTCATCTCGTCATCTCGAGCCCTCCTCCCTTTGTTACGGGCACTGACCGGCCGCAGTGACGGGTCACCGGGTCACCCTACAGCCGCGCTCGACGGCCAGCGGGTTTGTGAGATCGCCCCCTGGCGTCGGTGCAGGGTAGACGCGAGGCGACCAGGTGAACCTTTGCGGAGATGCGTCTGAAATCCTGCGTCCTTCGCGGCGCACGACAGACAACTGCCGAGGCTGCTCGTTTCAACGCGGGGGTTGCTCTGCGATTTCTGCAGGATTTCTGGGGGAGGGCGGACCTGATCCCACTTGATACTCCCCTCTCCCCTCCGCTGTACCGGGGACTGAGCCCCCTGTGGGGCTGTCATTGATCAGGGCTATCCCACTTTCTATTGGAAAGGCAAAATAAAGGCTTCATTCCTGCTCTAGACTGACTTCGTTGCGTGCTTGCTCTTCCCCCTGGGGCTGTCTATCTCTTCGGGTGCGTTTCCATCAATTGCAGGGATTCACTGGAGCCTGAGCGGTCAGAAGACCCTCCCAGCTGGGCTTGGGCAGCCTCCGGGCAGCCTGGGGTGACTTCCCTGCCATCTGGCACAGCAGGATAACCCAGGTGCACTTCTGGAATTTCCCTCTCTGCCCCTCTGTGTTTTTATTCACGCTGGAATTCTGAATCTGAGTTTTTTTCAGCTCTTTTCATTTTTACCTTTGAATCTTTTTTCTCCTTGCACTAAAAATGTTACTTCCTTAATATTAACAGTGCCTTTGTTTGATCCTACATTGTGCATAAAATATTAGTTTAAAAATGTCTAATATGACTTCAAGCAATAAAGCCACTATTTGTTTTCTTTCTTTTTGTACAATAGAAATTATACGCTAAGGTTGTAGGCCATTCATACTTTCTATTCCCAGTGGTTCACCTGCCAACCTAGGATACACCCTCTGTCATTTGGGTTTCTCTATTTTAGGTATGGCTTTATTATTGACAATGGAACTTCACATGGTTTCCAACTAAAACCTATAGAATAAGGCAATATTTAGAGAAGGTCTCTATGCTTCTGCTCCACCCAGTTCCTGATTTACAATACGTGTTCTTGGCCCCTTTTTTTGAACTAGAAATTGAACCCAGAGGTGCTTAACCACTGGGCTATGTCCCCACCCCCACCCCACCCCCCCCAGTTTTTTTTTTTTTTTTTAAATGCTAAGTTGCTTCTGGACTTACTAAGTTTTGAGACTGGCCTTGAACTTGCAGTCCTCCTGCTCAGCCTCCCAAGCTGCTGGAACGACAGGCAGGCACCACTCTGCACAGCTTTTTACTTCTTCTTTTTACTTAAAATATGAAATATAACCTGGAACCACATAATCTTACTTTATATCAATATGAGAACGATTTTACTCATTCTTATCTATGATCATATAGTTGGTAATGTGGATCATATAGTTGGTAATGTCACTTTAAATCACTTCCCATTGTTGGATATTTAGAGGTGGTTTTCAATCATTTGCAATGATAAATAATTTCCAATAATATGCATATATAATTTGGCATTTTAGCCAGGATATATTTTTTAGTTGTAGATGGACACAATACCTTTATTTTATTTATTTTTATGTGGTGCTGAGGATTGAACCCAGGGCCTCACACATGCAAGGCAAGTGCTCTACCACTGAGCCACAGCCCCAGCCCTAGCAGGGGTATTTTTGGAATATCACCCCACAAGAACAAATGCAGGGCGGCCAAGAGACAGATGCATATAAGATTTTGGTATTGTGCCTAATGTTCCTTCAAGTTAATATGCAGAGTGCAAACAAACCAGACTCGAAGGGCTGACCCTTTACTGTGCAAGGTGACCGCGTGTTACAGCTCTGAATGGCCTGCTGTGTGGAAATTGATCCACTGCAGATTGTCAGCCAAGGTCTTATGCTTCTCGGTTGATTGGTATTGCTGATGACTCATGGGGTACAGAATGCCAGATACCCCGGAACCCAGGGGACTGAGAACCAAATAGCCATTGTGGTTACAAGGCATCCTAATGGCCTGGCAGACTGTCCTGACCCCACAACTGCCAATTTCACCTAAGACTGAATGAATGGCAGGTAGCCTCAGATCAGCCCCTGCATGGAATAAGCATTCAGGTGGGAGTCTGTGCTCAGAGCACGGAACTAACATGGCCTGTCACAGTGGTGGGTGCCTGTAATCCCAGCAGCTCTGGAGGCTGAAGCAGGAGGATTGTGAGTTCAAAGCCAGCCTCAGCAACTCAGTGAGGCGCTAAGCCACTCAGCAAGACCCTGTCTCTAAAATATTAAAAAGGGCTCAGAATGTGGCACAGTGGTTAAGTGACCTTGGGTTCAATCCCAGGTACCAAAAACAAAAGTAAACAGAACTAAATGTGGGGGGGCGCGCAAGGCAGGAACATTCCCACGAGCACATGCTTGCTCAGATTAGTGTTTAGGAGGTGCAGTGAGCCTGCATCTTCATGGCCCTTTTCTTCCCCCTAAGCTCTCCTTGTCGACCTCCTTCAAGGGACACAGAAAAGCTCAGACTGGCTGCTATATTGGTGACACTTTGTCTAGGAAAAGTCTGCAGTGGACCCCCCCACCAAAGGGCACAGTGGTTCCCAGCGACTGAGGGTAGCTCTGCCTAAGACTGGGGTGGCCAGAGCAGATGGGGCCAGGCAGGGCCTGTCCTCAGATGTGCCCTCCGAGGTCTGCACCTCTGGTTAAAGAGACTATGCACAGGGGATTCTGCAGGGTCCCCCTGCTGCAGTGACAGATCCTTTCCACTCCTCATCAGGGCCTGGGGGTCAAATGAGGTCACAGAGCGTTGTCTGAGGAACCCAAGGTCTCACTGTGGTGCTACTCATTTCCGAATCAAGCCTGGCTCTCCAGCAAAGGTAGTCCCCAAGACTGAGGTGGATCGGGAAATCACAGGGAAAACACAGGTGCTGTATACTGAACTGTGTGACCCTAAAATTCATAGTGAGGCCCTAGTCCCCAACGTGACTGTACTGAGACACAGTCCTTGAAAGAAGTCACGGAAGTCAGATGAGGTCATAAGGGTGGGGCCCTGGCCCATTATGAGGACACACCTGGGATGTGTGAGCACAGGGGAGAGACCTCGTGAGAACACAGAAGACGGCCCTCTGCTAGTCGTGGAGAGAGGCCCCAGGAGAAAGCAAGCCTGCCGGCACCTCGAACCTGGCCTTCTGGCCTTCAGGACTGTGAGACAACCCCTGTGGTCACCGACATGTCCCTGTGGGTGGTGTCTGGTTACAGCCCCCAGTACACTGAGAGAGCACTGTCCACCAGGGGAGACTGGCACATCCCCAAAGCTGTGAGTCAGGATGAAAGAATTTAGGGAATGAAGACAGACAGACAGGCAGAAGCACAGCCCAAGAAGCCATAAACCATCCCCCCTCCCCCGGCCCCCCGCCGGGGGAGGGGGGGTACTGGAGATTAAACCCAAGGGCACTTAACCACTGAGCCATATCCCAGCCCTATTTTGTACTTTACTCAGAGACAGGGTCTCATTGGGTTGCTTAGGGCCTCACTAAGTTGCTGAAGCTGGTTTTGAACTCACAATCCTCCTGCCTCAGCCTCCTGAGCTGCTGGGATTACAGGCGTGTGATACCGCGCCCAACCCCACAAGCCATTTTATGGTCATCTTGGGGGTGAATGTGGACAGAGGGGAGAAGAGTCTGATGGCAGAGAAGCAGACCTTGAATGAACCTCCTGTGAATGGAGTGTTCCTAGGCCCTGAGCCACCCTCCCTATGGGGGGGTCAGACTGCCTGTGGCTGCAGCAGAGTGCCCCCCACTGGCCACCTCCCAATGGCAGAAATGTATTCTCTTACAGTTCTGGAGTTGAAATCCAAAATCGAAATGGCGGCAGGTGGTTCCTTCTGAGGCTCTGGTGGTCAGTCGCTCACCTAGCTTCTGGTGGCTGCCTGCAGTCCTTGGCACTCTTGACTTGTAGACCCCTCCCTCCAATTTCTGTTGTCATTGTCACATGGTATCCTCCCTTCTGTGCATCTGTGTCCAGATTTCCTCCTCTTATGAGGACACCAGCCATTGGACAGGGCCAACCTATTCCATTATGACCTCATCCTAACTCCTGACATCTACAAAGACCTGAATTCCAAATCAGATCACCTTTAAAGGTCCCAAGGGTCAGGACATCAACATGTATTTGGGTGGAGAGGCACAAGTCAACTATAATAGGACCCCACAGAGCCAAAATGGGGATGTTGTTTTAGGACATGGTGACCTTCGTGGATGTGGCTGTGAACTTCACCAAGGACACGTGGACCCTTTTCAGAGGAATCTCCTCGAGGACATGATGCGGGAAAACATGGCATCCACAGCCGAGGATGCTCCTCCTGTATTTAGTCAACAATGGGACCAGTGCTGGTTTGGTACCTCCTATGTCCTGAGAGGTATGTGAGAGATGGGAAAGGGGTTGTTAAATGACAGACACAGCCTCTGCCCCCCAAGTAGTGGACATTGGTTTTCCCCCAAGAACCTGGAAGCCTGTCAATGACATGACATTTTCATGCCTTTCATGATGAACAAGCCTTTGTGGGGTCCACAAGTGGGTGTAAATGGAGCCCACGAACAGGGTCACTCTAAGGCACTAAGCTCACTTAGTCTTGGGTTCTTCCCTTTCCCATCTTTTTGTCACATATGTTGGATGGTCATGTGTAAAGAAATCCACATGGGTGCCGCCATTTTTCCTCTCACCCACCTTTGCTTGGGAGGAAGAATGTAACCCTTGTGCCACTTTATTTCAGATTGGGTGACTCAATGTAAAACCAAAGACCGAACCTCTCAGCCAGATGTTCTTGCTACAAGAACATTTCGTGAAGCCACCGGCTGTCTCACTGGCAACACGTGGTGGCCTTCCCTGTTAGAAGACCAGAAGTGCCACAGCACAGAGGAGCCACAGAAGCCAGGGGAGCAAAATGCGACCCAAGCTGCAGCTGCCCAGGGCAAAGGCGTATCTCCAGCTGTATCCTGTGGGTGTCACCAAGTGAGGGACAGCTTGAGGCTTGTGCCTTCGCAGAGAGAGTCCACAAGAAAATACATCCCGCCGTGTTCCTGGAATATCGTGACATATTGTCCCATCTTAAACAGTCATCAAGAATTACCTAAAAATGATGGCTGTGATGGCGTCTGGTGGCAGAACGGGCGGCTGGTCCCGCAAATGAGAACATGCACAGAGCCGAGATCACACCCGTGGATGGACAATCAGAACCACGTGCGTCGTGGACACGATAAAATTGACACGGGAGTGGATATTCAGCTGTGGGATGCGTCTGGAAAAGCCTTCAGTGGAGACAGAGTCCCCAAGGCACCCAGGACTCCCAGTGCAGGGAGAATGCTCATTTCCAACCAGTGTGGAAGCAACTTCAGTCACAACCCAGCCTGGACCTTGCAGGGAGGATCCTCCTGTGTGAAGACAGAAGCTAAGAAACCAAGTGGGAAAACCTCTGCCCACGCTCACCATTCTGGTCCACACAAGAGAACTAACACTGGAGTGAAAAGCTACAGGTGTCGCGAGTGTGGCCGAGCTTTTGTCTACCAGTCCTTTCTCAGGAGACACATGGACATTCACACAGGCGAGCAGCCCTACGAATGCCAGCAGTGTGGGAAAGCCTTCAGGTACTCCCTGCACCTCAATAAGCACCTGACAAAGCACATTGTGAGCAAGAACTACGCCTGCCAGGAGTGTGGGAAAGCCTTCCCCAAGTCCTCAAAACTCACCGCGCACATCAGGACTCACACGGCAGAGAGGCCCTATGCGTGTGAGGAGTGTGGGAAAACCTTTACTAAGTCTTCAGGGCTCCAGAGGCATCTCAAGACTCACAGATGAGAGGCTCCCTGCAGATGGAAGGAGGGTGGGGTCAGCTTCATCAAGGGTCTTGCTGTCCTGGACATGCCAGGAGGACAGACTGGCAGGAAGCTCAGTGAGTTAACCTGCAGGGGCACATCTTTCCAGAACTCTCCAGTGAAAAGCCCCTCCCAAAGGCTCCACCTCCTCCCAATAGCGCCACAGGCTGGGGGATATGATCCAAGTGTGTTATTTGCATGTATGAATATACCTTAAAACCATATTCTGTTAATAAAAATGCACTCATAGATGACTCCACCCCAAGATGACCGCATCAATCCAGTCACCAAGGTGGAAGCCTCAGGCCTGATCACCTCTTAAAAGTCTCAACCCTCCACACCACGGCATTGGGGATTCAGTCTCCAGTACTGGAGCTTTGGGGTACACGTTCTGGCCACAGCAGACTCCATTTGCCTCTACTGTGTTCCTCCTTCAATTGCATGTGTGTGTGTGTGCACGCGTGTGTGCACGTGTGTGTGTGCACGCGCTGTGGTACTGGAGACTAAATCCAAGCCTGCTCTGCCTCGGAGCTACATACCCAGACCTTTTTAAATTTTATTTTATTTGGAGACAGGGTCTCGCTAAATTGCTGAGACTGGCCTTAAACTTGCAGTTCTCCTGTCTCCACCGCTGCCATCTTGGGGATTACAGGAGTGTGCCCTGTCCCAGCTCTGTGATCAAAGTATGTTATTTGCACATAGGAATACACCATAAAGAAACCCATGTTCTATAAATAAAAGTGCACTTATCAAATACCCCATCCCCAAGAATGGAGGGTTTTTTGATTTGGGGTTTTTTGTTTTTGTTTTGGTTGCTTTGTTTTGTTTTTGGTGGTACTGGAGATTGAATCCAGAGATGGTGTACTGCTGAGCTACATCCCCTAGCAATTTTTTATTTTTATTTTGAGAAAGGTTTTCTCTTAAGTTGCAGAGGCTGGCCTTGAACTCACGATCCTCCTGCTTCGGCCTCCTGAGCCACTGGGATCACAGACGTGTGCCATGCACCAGCTCTGCTGCTTCTTTCTATTTGCATAATAAGATGTTTTCTCTGCTTACATAGGAACACCCAATCTGTACCTGAGCCAACCCCCTGCTCATCTAATTCTCACACACACCAGTACCCCCACACACACCTAAACCCCTCCCCCCAGCCTAAATCACCCTGGGGCCAGCTACAAGGGACAACCCCTACCACAAGCTCACCAGAATTATACCTGTCAGTCCCGAGCTGTCTGCCTGCCTTCCTGGCCATTCCCAAGGAAACCCCAGTGCAAGCCGGGGCTTCCCCTCATCCCTGCTTCCGCCTCTTGAGTGCTTCCCCTGTGGCCCTGTCTGGTGGCATGGCGCTGGGGCTCCTCCAGGAAAGATGAAAACAGTCGCCCTCCTGTATCCATGGGCTCTGCATCTGCAGATTGAACCAACTGTGGATCAAAAATAGTCTTTAAAACAATTATGTCTGTACTGGATAGGCACAAGCACCTGCACTGTAAGATGCCACACATACTCTAGAGCAGACCTAAAATGAACAGGCAGACATGCGCAGGCTGAGTGTAAATACCATGCCATTGTAGAGAAGGGTCTCTAGTATGGATTTTGGTATCCCAGAGAGGTCCTGGAAGTGACCCCCATGGACACCAAGGGAGGTCTGTGACATCAACCTTTCAACGTCCTCTATGTCACACCTCCAAGTCGCATTCCTCATGACTAAAACACTCAGGGTCACTCCATGGGAACTGGGCTGCATGAAATAACCACACAAGAGACAGAGATACCTTTTTCTTTGGGGTCCTGTGACGGCTCCTCTGACCTTAAGGGTCCACAGGAAGAGAGAGCGGGTGCGCGCTGACCCTTTTTATTGAGGAGAAGCCATTCAAATGAGTCATGTTTCAGGGGCTGAGTCTAGCTTCCTGATGTCCATTGTCAGCAGGTTGACTGACATCTAAGAAGGCCACACCCAAGGGCAGAGCAAGAGAAGGGGACACACAAAAGGCGTTTCCATGGAACATTCTATCCCAAACAGGGCAAGGGGGTAATATCACAAAGGAACCAGTGAGCATAGCTCGACCCCTGGGGCTGCAGGAAGGCGTGCCTACGCATGAAGACACATTTGTATTTTCTCTACCCTCAAGATCGGGGCTACCATCTTAGGTTACTTAAAAGCAATCAGATCACGTGTGACCGACAGTGCCTCAGCTGACCAGGAGGGGAAGCAAATGCTCGTCACATGCTATGTCGGCTCCACACCTCCATCCACTAAATCCCAAGTATGATTTTAATCCAGTAGCAGTGTATAAACAGCTGGGCAGACTAGATCCCATAAGACTACTTAAGAACATTAAAATCTGCACTTCATGTCATTTTCACATATCACATGATGAACTCCTTCTCAGCTCAGCTTGATTTGACCCATGGACCAGTTTCCTGACCTCCAACTAAAAGAATAAAACATCACTGTCCCTGCTTTCCAGTGGAGAGAACAGAGATAAGGAAAGACTCAGCTCTCTCAAAATTCAATTTTTTTTCAATTTTTTTAAATCAGGAAATATGGATACCCACATGCATTTGAAAATGTCTACCCACTGCCTGGCGTGGTGGTGAACATCTGTAATCCAAGTAACTGGGGAGGCTGAGACAGGATGACCGCAAGGTGGAGGCCAGCCTCAGAAACCTAGCAAGACCCTGTCTTAAAATAATGAATAAAAAGGCCCGGGGATGTAGCTCAGTGGTAGAGCAGCCCTAGGTTGAATCCCAATATAAAAAAAGAGGAAGAAAAGAAGCTAGGGAGGAAGGAGGGAGGGAAAATGTACACATGCAGTTCAAAGTCAGTAAAATGACCACCCACATACCAGTATCCAGGCCCAGAAGCAGTTCATCATTAAACAATTCATGGCGGCACCTTACCGGCAGCCTCCCCCAGTGCAGAGCGGAAACCCTATGGCACATTTTGGATCATTTCCTGTTCAATTTTATTTTTATGCCTATGCATAAATCCCCAGTGTTCTCTTTCCTACTTCTGATTCTTTTAATAATACATACGGTGGTATCCATTGAATATCTCTTAGTATCTCTTCTTTCAGAGAAAGATTCAGCCAGATAGGTAGCAGGAAGAATCTATCCTTTCATTTTCACTGCCCTATCGGATATTTCTTAGTCTGGTTTCAGAGAGATTTATTCTTTATCTCACTGCAGACCTTATCGACACGGCTGCTGAAATCAATTCTTGCACAGGCCTCACAACAAACTTTGCAAAAGTCATTCTTGAACAGAGTGACTCTCTGGGTTCTGCAATTCACATATGTTAGAAGCAAAATTATTTTAGACACAGCAGGACTGTCTGGTTTCATTTATATGGTATTTCCAGAGGAAGCAAATCTGGAGAGACTGAAAGTGGATTTGTGGTGGCCTGGGGTGGGAGTTTGGGACAGGGAATTGACTGCAAGCTGGTGATGAGGAACTTAGTAGTGGAGGAGCTTTTAAACTGGGTTGGGGTGATGACTGTACAACTCTGCAAATGTATCAAAACTCTGAATTGTACACGGACCCTGGGTGGATTTCAGTCTGTAAAAACTTTAATGAACCTCTGCAGGAAAAGAGAAAGAAAAGCGGAAGGTGAGGATAGGGGGAAAGGAAAGAGAACCCTAAAGTTCTGCCAAGTTCAGTCTTTGGTGTTTGGGGAAGACCTGTCTGCTAAGGACTCTCCCAGAAGAAGGGGACTCTGCAGCCTGGCCCCTGTGGCCTGCTTTTCCTAGGGGCCTGCTGCTTTCTCCTAGAGTTGGGGTGCATTGGGACCCCCTCCCATCTTGGAAGGAAAAGGATGATCTGCAAGCTGTTAGCCCAGATGCAGCCCCAGACCATGTAAATGGGTCTGGATCTACTCTTACCCCTAAAGTAAGATTGGGCACAGGGATAGACACAGGCCAGAAGTCAGAGAGAGGAGGTGATGCGATCTTAGGGTTCCCCCACCCACCCACATAGGCCCTCAATTCCCACAGGGCTGTTAAATGAAATAGATTTAGCAAATCTACCAGGTACTTTGCAAATATTTACTAAGGAAGCCCTCACAATAACCCTGTCAGGTGGGTGTATTATTGCTCCATTTTACAGCAGGGGAAACTGGGGCAGGCTAAGCAAGCTGTCCAAGGTCAGCTGGCGGGTGGCTCGGCTGTGGGCACCAGAAACTTGGCTCTTAGTTCCCCTGCCGGAGCCTCCCTGTACAGACTGGCTCGTGCATTTGGGAGGTGTTTGTCCTCCCCACTAGGAGACTGACCTCGTCTGGAACATTTCAGAATGGGGTATGGGGCTCAGAGAAATTAAGACAGTTGCCCAAGGCCACACAGCTCAGATTCGTCAATGCCAGTTTCTGCCTCACTCCTGGAAAAGAAAAATCACAAAATGTTCCTATTTCACTGCAACTGGGTAAAATTTAGTTCAAAAAAATTTAGTTCCATTTTCACCAATTTAATAGACATCGTGAAAAGAAGGAAGGATGAATGGATGTGTTCAGAGAGCCATATCCCGTTTTTGCAGGACTGCACTCCGGGAACTATATTCAAGACCAGGGCTTTTATCCCGCAAAACAAGATCTCCAGACGGAGGCAGGACCGGGAGGATCACCTGCTCGGACCGAGTGGGAAAGAGCAAAACCCACTCAGACGGGGCACGGGCGCCACCTGGCGGCACAGCTATGCTAAGGCGGCGCGCACGAGACAGAAACTTCAATCATTTCTCTCCTTTCGACCCGCTGGACCGCAGATCAGAGGTACTGGGAACACACTCCAGACGACGCTATTTTTCATAACATTGACAACCCAGGTGCCCACCTGTCTGAGACCCATATACCATACACGCCTTCCCTTGGAGAATCATATGAAAGACACTCCTATTTCAAGAGATGGTCACTGAAGGCCATAACATGCCATCTGTCACCTGCCAGCCTATTGCTTATAAAGCTCTGCCCTTCCCCATCACTCTGCCTCTCCAGTCATTGACTCCATTGGCCAGCAGCAGGACCGAACCTTGAGCTCTCCTTAAGTGACTTCCTGTCTTCTGAGTCTCCACTAATGACCCACGCTGTGTCCCCACTGTTCTGCATTGTCTCCACTATTTTCAGCTGACAAAGACCCTGATGGCACCCAGACCACCGCCCCAGTAATTGTCCCCCACCTCCTCGCAGCCAGCTCTGATTTCAGAATGGGGAATGGGGCTCAGAGAAATTAAGACACTTGCCCAAGGCCACACAGCTCAGATGCCACAATACAAGTTTCTGCTTCACTCCTGGAGGAGAAAAATCACAAAACACAAAATGTTCCTAATTTCACTGCAACTGGGTAAAATTTAGTTCAGTCCTACTTCCATTTTCACCAATAAAGCTGCCCGTCTTGTATGTAACAAAATGATCTGAGCAAGAAATGAAGAGCCTGTGTAGAGGTGACAACACCATCACATCGCCACCTCCATTCCCACCTGTCACCAGCAGTGTCGCCGTCTTCAACGTGGTCACCAGTGTCACCATCGGCAACACCCTCACCACCACCTCGGCATCACCACCCTTTTTCATCCTCCATCCCGCTCTGCACACCGGGCAAAGGGGAAGGAGGTGCTGCAGAGCCTGGGAACCAAGAGGAATCTCGCTTTGACCCTGGCTCCTCTGACATGGTCTCTGATGAACCTGGGCTTGCAGCCTCAGGATTGGCCAACTACAAACAGACCAGGGGAAGGCAGAGGAGGGTCTAGGACCTCAGGCGGTTAGCTGCTGGGGTTACCGTTGCTAGGTGCAGCTGTCCTAGTTGACGAGGCCACCTTGGAGGCAGGGATAGGATCTGAGGTCCTGGGCCTGCTGTGCACACCTTCCTGTTTGGGGAGGAGGAAGAAGTCCCTCTGGGTGATAGATAGGGTTAGTGGTCACGGCTCTGCTGCACACCACAATGAGATTTGCTGGGCCCCAGAGGAGCAAGAGGGGAAGCAGCTTCCCTCCAGCAGCCACATCCCAGGGGAGCTGCCTGTTCTACCTCCTTCCAAAACACCTTCTTTTAATTTCTTGTTCCTTCCTCTATGCCCCAGAACCTAGCATGACCCACAGCACACAGGAGGAACTCAATACATGTTTGTCCAATTAATGGGGAAAGAGCTAGCCATGCTCTCCTCCCCACAGCCCAGTGAGAGAGAAGATTGAAGCCCCAAGGCAAGATGCCTCCCATCCCCGTGGGGGCCGTGGCGTCAACAAGGGCACACCCTGGATTACCTGGAGCCCGTCCATCTGCCACTCAGAGCACCTTCCTCTTAAGTCAAGATCTCATCCCGGCACCAAGCAGGCTGCAGCTCCTTGTTCTGTTTCTTGGTAAAGGTTTAGAAGTGTTGCGGCTTTAGCTTTGTACACTGGAAATGGAGTCTTTGTGCCCTAAACATGTAAGGCAGCTTCCATTCTGGACAGCTCTCAGTGTTTTTAGAATTGAAGGCAGTTGTGCTGGGGGTGTGCTCTGTGGGAGGTACAGGGAGCCTGGGGCACCAGTGGACAGGCCTGACCTCACCCACCTCTTCCAACTCTGAAACAGCCATAGTGGGAGAGAGTATTGGCACCCAGAACTAGCAAACTCTCCACAAAGAATCACTGTTGAACGCTGATCGGGAGAAAGCTGGGAGACTGCTGGGAGCCTTTACCAGATCCTGGGATCAGATGAGGAGAGAGTTGATTGGATTGTCTCTGTGCTAAGTGCTCGGGATTGCACACCGGCCTGGCCCATGCTGCCCAAGCACCGTACCACTGAGTCCAGCCCAGCCCCCTACTCATCTTCATCCTCATCATTGTCCACCCAGCCTGTGCATCCACGGGTTCTGCATCTGAAGACTCAACCAACAGCAGATCTAAAAAAAGATTTTTTAATGGTGCCAGCCAGACACAGTACCTGTAATCCCAGTGACTCAGGAGGCTGAGGCAAGAGGATCCCAAGTTCAAGGGCAAGCATCAGCAATTTAGTAAGGCCCTAAGCAAGGGAGCAAGACCCTTTCTCAAAAATAAAAAATAAAAAGGGCCAGGGATGGGGCTCAGTGGTTAAGTGCTCCTGAGCTTATATCTGGTATGAAAAAAGAAAATTGTGCCTGTACTGAACGTATTCAGACTTTTTTCCTGTCATCATCTCCTAAATCCAGTGTAGCTCTTCACAGAGCATTTCCATTATAGCAGGCACCGTGCTCTAGACCTGTCTGGACCTGTCTGGAGTGTGTGGGGGATGTGTGTAGGTCAGTCATAACTATGCCGTGTCACATAAAGGACTCAAACGTCTGTGGACCTTGGTATTTGTGGGGCTCCTGGAACCAATCTCCTATGGATGCCAAGAGACGACGGTACTTATAATCACAGATGCATTCGAGTATTTGCTCTGCCAGGCTTTATACACACACACACACACACACACACACACCTCCGCAGCACATTCTGTTGTCACACATTCTGCCTACCTGGGTCACAAGGGTAAGTGACAGGTCACCTGCTTGGACTTGGTAGGATGAGGTTTTGACAGGGCACCAAGCATGAGACAGGCAGGGGTCACCCACAGTGGCCTAGGTCTCTGAATTCTCTGCTCCAACTCGGTGGCCCGCAGCTGGTGTAAAGCCTGCAGATATCCCTTCCGTCCTCCCCTTTCAGACACAGGCCACTGTACTTCCCCCCACCCCACCCTGCCCTTGAATCGAGGCATGGTCAGGTGACCTGCCTTGGATGATAAATTTGAATTAAGGCAACTGTGTCATATCCTGGGGAAAGTTCTCCCCCCCCCCCACAACACACACACTGGGGATTGAACCCAGGGGCACTTAACCACTGAGCCATATCCCCAGCCCTTTTTTAAAGACGGGGCCTTGCTAAGTTGCTCAGGGCCTCACTAAGTTGCTGAGGCAGGTCTTAAGCTTTCGATCCTCCTGTCTCAGCCTCCTGAGCGCCTGACCCAGGTAAAAGTTCTAGGAGCCTACTTTTTCACTTTCCCTTTCCCAGTGTCAAAGGAAACCGGCATCTCTCCAGAGGGAGGCTGTTCCAACAGCCTGGGGCACAGGGAGCAGAGCTCTTGGCTGACCCACACACAGCAGCAGCAATGGAAAGAAAGAAACCTTTGCTGCACTCGGGGGGTTACTGATTCTGGAGCATAACTGTTACCACAGGTAACGCAGCCTACCCCAGCTGACACCGCCCCAGCAGAGCCAGAAACGTGCAAGTCTCAAAAAATGAATGAGTGAGTGAATGGCAGAGAATAAGGACAGGGTCACAAATTCTCCCTGGACTAGTGGTCGAGGGAAGAGCCCTGTCTCGAGCTGGCTGTCTCACACACATGTACCCGGTCTGGGGTAAGAGTTGAACTCCAGACCTTTATTTCCTGGGGTCACAGCTCATCTGGTCAGTATGGGGGAGGCTCTTAGGGAGTGAGGAACGAGGAGCTGTGAAGATGAGGATGTGAGGTGCCAGGAGAGCCTGGGAGACGGAGAGGAGGAGTGAGCGGGAGAGGGAGAGGAGGCAGGAGTGGGGGAAATGAGCGCTTAGGGCTGAGCCACGACGGGCAGGAGGAAAGAGATGGAGGGGCAGAGAGACAAGGCCCACGCTGAGAGATGGAGACTCCCAGGGCAAAGAGGGAGGCAGAGACGGGGAACCTGCAGGGCGCAGGGCAGGGCAGGGCTGGACGCCCTAGAAGCAGCGGGAGTCCTTGCTGCTGGAGGAGGCAGGCCTGGTGCTGGAGGGGGCCCCTCTGCTGGAGCTGGGGCCCCCGCTTGATTCTGACCCCACGCCTCTGCTCGCCATGCCACCTGCAGAGCTCTCCTGGCCTCTGCTGGAATCCACATAGCCAGTAGACACCAGGTTGCTGCCCGAACTAATGGGTCTGAAGGTCACACGGCCGGCGCTCGAGGTCCAACTGGAACCTGGGACCCCACTGGCGCTCATGGGGCCAAAGGTGGTCTGGCCCGTACTGGAGTGGTGACCCCTGGACAGCTGGCCTTCACTGGAACTGGGGATGCCAAAAGTGACACGGCTGATGGAGCCTGTGCCCTGATCCTTGCTGGCTCTGTGGCTCAGGATGGACCCAGGAATCCCAGGGATCCTGCTGGTGGTCCCCAGGGAGGGCCCCGCACTGGCCACTCTGGTGCTTGAGAAGGCCCCGGCCGGGGTGCTGTCAATCTTCCCCACTGCTTCCGCCAGCTCCTTCTGGCGCTGCTCCTGGGCCAGCTCCTGGACCTCCACCTGGGGCAGGGAGGACAGTCAGGGCCCCAGAGAACAGCCGAGGCCCTCCCCACAGCACTGCCAGCCCCGGCCACCACCTGCAGCCGCCAGCCCGCTCACCGCCTGCATCACTTGGCTCAGCAGCTCCTCCCTGCTCATGGGATGGTCGTCTTTGGCCACAAAACCGGGGGGATCCTCTCTAGGGTTGGGGGAAGGCAGAAAAGTCTAGACTCATGCCCACAAAAGGCCAATGGCACCTCCTGCCTTTACCAGAGGCCCTCAGCTGTTCTCGGGCCAGCCCTCTCCCCTTTGCAACACCCGTGATCTCCTCTCACACAGTCCCCTGGAGTCCTAACTCTGGCTCTCTCTAGCCCCTGCATCATCCTCCATCCTCCCTGAGCCAGGCCCACCACCTAGTCCCAGACCCCAGCCCACTTGTTCCCTAGCCCCACCAATGCCTGCCCCAGCCCCGCTCACATGCTGTCAGGTGGCTGCAGAGGGGCCATCTTCTTGGGAGGATCCTCATAGCTCTGGCCCAGCAGCAGGAGGGCAGTGTCCGTCAAGGGGGCTTGGTTCTGAGAATGCGAGAGCCAGGGCTCAGCTCAGGCCTGGCCACAGGTCAGCCCCCAGGGCCCGTCCCTGCCCTGGCCCACCTGGACTTCTAGAAAGGCCTGCAATGTCAAAAGGTACACCAGTCGCTTCTCAATGAGGCTCAGGAAGAGGCTCATGTCCCGATCCCGCATGTGGGTCTTGACACCGAGGAGGTCCTCGATGACGCTGCTGTCACAGTTAGCCTTGGTGAAGAGCAGCTGGATATCTGGGGGCGGGGGGGCTACTGTCATTGATCCAGCACAGCCCAGTGGACGCTAGCCCTCTCCCTGCTCAGGTCCCTGCTGTGCATTCTGTGGAGATAGTAGTCCAGGCTCAAAGATGGAAAGGGGCTCAGCTCAGCTCAGCAGCCCCACCTGAGGGCTCAAGAGGACAGAGCTAACATGGGCCTTGCCTCCGTCTGACACCTTAGCCAGAAACAAACCCAGCCTCCCCAGCCTCCTGGGCTCCAAGACCCTCTCCCTGGGCCCTCCCAGGGCTGGAGGGCACCCAGCAGCCTCGGGGCTGCTGCCTTTGTGTTTTTCTAACCTCAGTCCCAGTTGCATTCAGTCTTCCCTGGACCCACTAGACAGGGTCACGGCCCACTCGTGCTGAGTTATTAACCAGCCATTGTTCATGAACTAAGAAGGCACCGGGACCTCGACAGAAACCTGCATCCTATCCTCCCGCAGTCCCGGGATCTCTCACAAAAAAAACACCATCCTCCTGGACCCTGGCCCATCAGTCCCCTGCTTGCTGTTTTATGCAGTTTCATGGCATTCCTGCATGTTCTTTAAATATATACATAACATGCCTCTATTTCAGTTGTGTTTAACTTCATAAGAGGGTCTCATGGCATTATTGATAGCAGCAAACAATTGGAAGTGACCTAAGTGGATAACTCTGGGACAGCCATAATGTTAAGGGTTGAATTGTGCCCCCAAAAATGCACGTGTTGGAGTCCTAACTCCCCAATGCCTCAGAATAAGACTTTATTTGGAAATAGGGTCATTGAAGATGAACTCATGATAAGATGAGGTCAGAAGGGAGTATAGTGGCCCCCGCCCAACATGACTGGAGTCCTTATAAAATAAAAGGGGAAATGCAGAGATGGGACCCAGAGAGCAGAGCCATCTACAAGCCGAGGACAGATGCCTAGAACAGATCCTTCCTCCCCAGCCCTCAGGGAGAACCGATCCTGCAGAGAATTCGATTTCCAGCTTCTGCCTCCAACTGTCAGACAACACACTTCTGTGTTTAAGCCATCCCATTTGTGGTATTTTGCTACGGCAGCCCCAGCAGGAGAATAAATCTCGTAATATTACAGAATGAAACTCACCAAGACCAAGAATGAGATAGCACTACTATTCCATTCTGTTTTTATCATATTACCACGTCACTCTATGTTAATATATTTTGATTACTGAAATGGCACCAAGATATTGGTGAATTGAAAAAAGCAAAATAGCACACTTCTAAATGGAGGAACATGTTATTTACGCAAAAATGACCAACCAAAAATGTATAAAATGCCTGAGTGTATGTGTGTGTGTTTGTAAATCCCAAGAAAAGGCGACATGATTGAGTTCCACTGCACACCCACCGCCTCACCACGGCCCTCTGCTCCTCTCCTGCTGTAGTGCCCATCACCATCACATCTGACAACTGCACCTCCATTTCCAGAGTGGCTCAGAAAGAGGAACCATACCGAGGCTTACAAATGGTGGCAGTGGTTCCAAGCCAGGGTGGCCTGGCTCCTGAGTGCTCTGAATGGCTCCTTCCCCCAAAATAAGATGGAAAGGAGGACACCCTGGAGGGGTGATTTTAGCAAAAGAAACTCTAGGCTCCCGCCTCATACAATACATACAGATTAATTTGCAATAGGGAGCAAAAACAATAAAGTTCCAGCAGAAAACAGAGGAGCGTGCCTTTGTCACCTTAGAGCAAGCCAAGACTTCTAGGGAAGGCCACAGAGTCACTAACAACAAAAAGAAAAGTTGGTAAATTGGATACCGTCAAAACTAAAAAATAAATTTAGGTTTATCACAAGAAAATGAAAAGGTCAACTATATGGAAGAAAACATGAAAAAGAAACACTTTTCCACTATTGGTGGGATTGTAAATTAGTACAACTGCTACGGAAATCAGTATGGAGGTTCCTCAAAAGACTAGGCCTGGAACCACCATATGACCCAGCTAGAACACTCCTCAGTATTTATTCTAAAGAATTAAAGTCATCTTAACTATAGCAATACATGCATTCCCAAGTTTATAACAGCACATTTCACAATAGCCAAACTATGGAACCAGCCTAGGTGTCCATCAACAGATGAATGGATAAACAAAGTGTGGAATAGCTAGGCGTGGTGGCACACACCTATAATCCCAGAGACTCAGGAAGCTGAGGCAGGAGGATCACAAGTTCAAAGCCAGCCCAGCAACTTAGTGAAAATGTAGTATATATAAGCGATTAAGTTTTATTCAGCCATAAAGAAAAATGAAATTATATCATTTGCAGATGGAAATTGAGACCATTATGTTAAGCGAAATAAGCCAAACTCAGAAGGTCAAGGGTCATATGTCTTCTCTCATATGTGGAAGGTAGAGAGGAAGAAGGAAAAGAAAGGTGAGGGATAGCGATGATAATGTAAAAATCAAAGGGAGATGAGAATAGAAGAAAGGGCCAGGGAGTGGTGAAGGGATATTCTGGGATGGACATTAGCCAAATTGTTATATTGTGTGCATGTACTAATATGTAACAATCAACCCCACCATTCTATACAACTATAATGCAGCTATACAAAATGTGGAGGAAAAAAAAGACTACTATTCAGAACATGCAGTGAACTCATGCAACTCAGTTTTAGCAAGACAAACACCCTAATTTGTTTTTAAATGCACAGGATTAAACAGGGTGCCCTAAGTTATTAGTCATCAGACAAACTCAAATTAAATTAATAGAGGTAGTACTGCATGCGCATTCAAAGGGCTAACATCACAACCTCTGACGGTAAGAGGGGCCAGCCAGGGCGCAGGGCATCTGGAACACTCTGGTGCCCTCATGTGGATTTTCTAATAAATCTCAGTACAGACCTGCCCTGTGACTCAACAATACCACCACCCCGCAGGCATTGGTGGACAGAGGGCTAGACCAATCAGGAATACTGGATGGCTGATGCCCTTGATGAACAGAGATGGATGTGGTCTGGACTGATAAGCAAGTGCACAAAGCAGCCACGGTATACCTCCAAGGGGCCAGCCCAACTGGACCCTCTGCCGGCTCACTGCACCCCTCCAGATCAAGAAGCTGGGGCTGGAGGAGGGGCTGGCACAGGCACTCACCGGCCTTGAGCGTTTCCACTTGACCTCGAAAGTCCTTCAAGCGGGCCTCAAGCTGATCCGACTCAGAGCGCGCCTTATCCAGGTGCTGCTGCAAGGCGGCCTGCCGCTGCGCCTCCTGCTCCTGCTTGGTGCTCCCGCTGGCGCGCTCGTTCACCAAGGCCTCCTGCATCTGCGGGGCAAGGACTGGACACTGGGCGGGGCTTCAGGAGCAGGGGAGGAAAGTTCAGGGACCAGAGAAGGGGTAAGAGGGAGGAGGGAGGGGG